CCCCCCCCTCCCTCCCCCTCCCAAGTGTGCTCCTCAGTCCCATCTGCGCACAGTATACAGAAGTAATACCGAGATGTCTGAACTTTGCGGACAAAGGATTACGTGAGACGGTTGTGGGTTTTTTTTTTGTGGGGGGAGCCGGCCGGTCCGAGGTGGCGTTGGCTCATACCACGCTGTGCAGCGACGGGTGGGTGAACTGCGGGTTGACGTAGGAGAATCCGGCAAACTCGCTCTGGTCGATGTTGGCGATCATCATCTGGTCCGGCGGGGTCAGCATGGGCTGCGTGCGCGTGAAGAACTTGTCAAAGTTCTCTGCTCCCTTGCCGCACTAAAATAAAAAACACGCGGGATTACTTTCAACGCTGAACACTGTAAACGAATGATGCAAGTACACGGGTCTCGAAAAGTTCCAAATGTTCAATCTTTACAGCTCAACGTTTGAAATTGCCAAACTGCAGCGGCGCTTTCTGGCATGAGCGTCAATTGCGGCTAAATGTTGAAGGCTTCACAACTTTTTGCACAACTCGCTGCTCCTCAACAAGGGTTGGGTGGTGAAATTCACAACATTCATAGGTTGAATCCACAATTAAGCAATCATACATGCGGCGGAAAGGAGTCAGCATAACTTTTCACGTGGAACTTGATGAACAATCTTTTGCAAATTTCTTGTTGTATTTCCAGCTAAATCAACGAACGAATGGAAAAAATAACACTTTGACTGCTGTATAAAAATAGATGTTATACAAGTTGCAGTGGATACAAAGTCCACACACTAAGGAATGGAATTGCGTTTTGTTTTTGCGAATGAACCGTATTGGCCCGAATATAAGACGGCCCTGATTATAAGACGACCCCCTCTTTTTCAAGTAATTACAGTACATCTGAAACAAATAATTATAACAATATATTTGAGAGAAAAAGCATGTTATTTTGCCTCATTCAAATCTTAATATCTGAACATTTAAATATGTAAACTAAAGTGCAATCACATTCGTAAATGAATGGCTTCTGGTTTTTGAAATATAAATTACATCATAACTTCAGCTGCCGGTTAACCTGGCTGATCTTCGGCCCACTTTTCTCCAGATTGTCACTACGTTTCTTCATTTTCTGTTATCTCTTCTAGTATTTTCTTCTCTTTTCCTTCTTACCGCTATTTTTTATTTTTCTTCTTCGTGCTACCGCTATTTTTATTTTTATTCTTCGTGGCAGGGGTTCACTTTGGCCTGGGGAGTCAAGTTCAGCATTCGCTTTAATGATATCTGGCGCCATCTAGCGTCATGAATGGGCATAACGTCTAGACACCGAATATAAGACGACCCCCACTTTTTCAGTCTTATTTCAATGCAAAAAAACACCGTCTTATATTCGGGCCAGTATGGCAGTTTCATATGCAATGATTTGTTCAAGGTCCTCATCCTTTGTATTTTTAACAAAGACGAGCAATAAATGAATATGAACAAGAATAAACAACATCGGATTTATTATACAATGTTTCAGTCTTATAGTTTATGCCTCCACTAAAATGAAGGCAAATGAAGCAATGAGATTTTTTCCCCCCCAAATTGGAAAAAAAGAATTTTATGACGGCTCATTTTGGGCAAAACAAGGTCAGCGTTGAGCACTCCCTACCACTTTGGGCTTGAACGGTGGTTGTATCTCCCTGTTGGCCAGTCGTTCCCAGTCAATGCGTCGGAAGAAGGCCTGCTCCCGGAGGTCCCGCTCCCCCTCGGGCCCGCAGCCGAGGCGCTTCGAAGGGTGTTTGGTCATCAGCTGCCACGCATAAATGGCACATCTTGCTTTTCACACTTCACATTAGCTGTATTTATACTACACTTAAGGCGTGCAACTCTAAATTCTGTAATAAAAGGTTAAAAAAAAAAGCCAAAAAATCCACAATATAGCGGGTGTAGTGAAAAATACACTGTGATATTGCTGAGGTGGAGCGCGATGCATTGTAAGAGCCGCAATGTGATATGCCGGTGCACGTACGCCTTTGCAGATGGAGACGGCTTCTTTGGACATGGACTTGGGGTAGGACACATTGTGCTCCATGATGGACTGGAAGAGCTCATCCTCGTCCTCGCCGTCAAATGGCGGCTGCGGAGGAACAAATGGAAAGAGCGGTACGACATCACGTCATTGAAATGTGAGGCGATTAAAACAAAACAAATTTACAAATTCAAGATTTAAAAAAAAACACATTTATTAAAAACAGGAAAAAAGTAAATACAATTTCAAGAGATAAGTATACTTTTTTTAAAAAAATTGTACGACGTCCTATCACAACAGTCATAAGTTGACTACTGAGTGAACTAAATTTTCTGCAGCACTGATTGGACAAGCAGCGTCATGTGATCATCTGCAGCCAGTGATGGCCAAGCGGGCGTGTCATAACTGATTGACATGTTGAGTCGGGTGTCTCTTAACCTCCACGGCAGAGGCTCCGTCGAACTCCTGAGACCGATTCACTGAACCCCTGGGGTTCGATCGAACCCAGGTTAAGAACCACTGCTCTGAAATGTGTACCTGAAAAGTCACAGTTACTTTTTTTGGGGGGTGTTATTATTAGCTAGGACAATTCCTCAAATTGTGTTTGCTTCAGCATTGATGCAAACGTTACTGTTCGGAGGTATGCGCTGGAGGAAGAGGACATTAACCCTTTCAGGTAGAGCGGTCACTACAGTGGACAGTTTATCATGTTATCCGGTTAGAGGCTATCATTGTTTGCGCCTTAGAAGAAATTGGGGTGATTTAAAAACAAACAAACAAAAAAAAAAAAACGGTGCCCATCAACTGCACTTCTTTACCTGTCCTGCCAGCATCTCATACAGCAGAACACCATATGCCCACCAGTCCACTGACTTTCCATACGGCTGGTAGGCTATAATCTGACAGAGACAAGAAGATAACACAAGAAAGAGGTTCAAACCCACCAAATCAGCCTCCCCATTAACTACAAAGACAAAGACGCTTTCTCCCACCTTACAATTTACGATCGCGGGTGACAATCCCCCCTCCCATACACACGCACGCACGCACGCACACACACACACACACACACACACACACACACACACACATGCACATGCCACAATAATCAGAGATGCGTTGAAAACGAAACAAAAATGCAGCTGCCCTTAGCAGAAAAAAACCCCAGAGGAAACGGTACAATTTGTGCTGGTCCCTCAATTTACAATTACCCGGTACAAAAAAAAAAAAAAAAAAGAGACCACATGGCTATGATGTCATTCAGGACACACAGAAGTCATTGTCTGCAAAGGCATCATAAAGTTACAACACCATATGGTAATTCCTCACATAGGAATATGGGCGAAGACGTGCACACCAGAAGGAGCAGCACTATGTCTATTGAATTGGAGCAAAAAAAAAAAAAGTTCCTTACTGTATGTTAACTGTATGACGCTATAGAGTGCTATTTTTGTTCTTAAAAATATATTCCAAACATTTTGCTTTGCTTTCCACTCACTTCAACGGGGGAAAGATAATTTGCGATCTCAAGGCGCCGCTGCACTAAAGTGAAGAAAGTCGTCGGTGAGCGTTTCCTCACCATGAGCGCCTCACCTCTGGTGCGATGTAGTCGGGCGTGCCGCAGAAGGTGCGCGTGGACATGCCTTCATACATGTTCTCCTTGCACATGCCAAAGTCGGCGATTTTGATGTGGCCCTCCGAGTCCAGCATGACGTTGTCCAGTTTCAGGTCCCTGCAACGCAAGCACTCGTCTTGAGTGGGCAATGACAACCTCACTCTTTGCTTAGCTTTTCTTATCTCTACTTAGTCTTTCATCAGAGCCACTAGACTTCATATTTGGCTCTTCTGGATATCAAAGTTGTTTGACATAAATTGGATAACTTTTGTTAAAATCCTTCTTACCAGTGTATGCTTGTCTGAGCCCTCTTTAATGATTGGCACCCATAACTGACACTATGCCTTTTATCACGGTGCGCCGGATGATTGTGAAAATATAGTACGTTTTCAAAAACCCTATCATTTAGTATCAAAACGTTTTGGGTGTTTTTTTAATGAAAAAAATATGAATCAAGGGTTTAGTGCACCTCCTCGGTCAGTATTGATATAAATTACCAGAAGATGGCGGGAGTGGCTTTGATCAGAGCTTGGGTGTGGTACGGTGATCCTACGGCGTGAGGTGGCGTGCGAAAACAGTGTGGTGTTGAGAACATGGCAAAATATTGCCAGCTAACGCTACAACAGAGCTTTTTCAATTAAAAAAAGAGGACGGAATCCCATCGTCCCCCTTGACGAACACGTGCGCACACACGCAGACACACAAACACACACTCACAGACAAAGTTCAACGTTCATGAAAACTTCATGCATGACTGATGCATGAAGTTTGTCTTGGAACAAGTGTATTGTTAATCTTGCAATAAATTGTTATTTTGCAATTATAGTGACATTTTTTGGGTGATGTTGTTATTTAGGAGGAAACCATTGTTTACATATTTGAAGTATTTGACATTTGATGTTTGACAAATGCAAAAAAAAAAAAAAAAACCCCAGCAAAGTAAAAGTTCTGCTTAAAATGCATCCTTTCACAAAAAGCTTTTTTTTCCTCTGAAACAAATATTTTCATGAAACTTACCAATGTTCAATTGCTGTTTACAAAAGAATGGTAAAAATGTAGAAATGTACTTTTTTCTGATGAGAGAAGGGGGTTCAAACTTTCTTTTGTTCGGTTCCATGCTTAAATAACTCGAGAACTCAATTTTCTGTTTATTCTGGCCTCCAAACATTTGTCAAAAATGGCTGCCGTTAAATTAGTCTAACGTGGATTTTTTTTTTTCCCCAAAGAATAAATGCATTTGTTGGATTTGGGATTTTCTTCTTTTTTTATTTTGATAAAAACTGAATTTATTAGAAGCTAAAGAACATACAGTATCTCAACCAGGGCTGCCAATAATTATGGAGGGTTGTGTAAATTTCGTTTAGAATTTTTGGGGGAATTTCTTGCCTTTTGGAGCCATATTACAATCATCTTAGTTTTTCTCTTTGGGGTCCGCTTCTTTGGTTCGTACGCATGTGACCCCTCCCCTCCCCTAACCCCAAAAAAAGGACGCTCCAAGTAATGAGTGGCAGGTGTGGGATCGGGAAAGACAACACATTTGATTTTGTTGGGGTTTTTTTCATTTGTGTTTTGATTCGGAAATGAACGGACATGGAATTGATTTGGTTTGATGTTTTTGGAAAACTAAACTGTTTAAAGACGTACAGCACCGTGCGACTTTTTAGGGTGAAACGACGCCTCCCTTCCGAAGAGTTATAACCTTTTTTTTTTTTTTTTTTTTTAAGCCCCTCAATGATAAATATCTTATTGGAAAGACTCTATATTTATGTCATGCTAGTCGTTCTTCAAGGAACTAGCTAACGTTTCGTTTTGGCTCGACTGGACAGCGCTGGATTGGGTTTCGTTTTGGACATCGCGTGGAGTGCACAAGCGAGCGGCTTTGCTCGCCCGACTCAACTCCATCGTCGGGATGCGCGACACGTAACTTTGGATGAAAGGTAGGCCACTTTTTAGATAATTTACTGCCCAATTATTTTTTAAGAAGTCAGACGGTGTGTTTGGTTACGGATTGAAAGGGAAAATGAAGGGAGTGAAGGTATTCGTTTCGATATAATTGGACGCAAACGCAATCTGCCACGAAGCGTCCAACAACGCAAAAGGTAGTTGCAACCGTTACAAAAGTCTACAGTTAATGCAGGACGCCAGGCAATATCTGTACGTTGTTATTTTGACAAAAAACAAACTATCCAATGAAGGAAAGTTGTCAAACTCTGCAGAGAGAAAAACACGACATACGGTTCAAAGCAAAATTAATTGTGCAAAATAGAGTTGATCAAATATGTTCATAGATGGCAACGTTGCTAAACCTGGTGAAAATGAAAATTACGCCAAGAGCCAAGTCCAAATCAATGTCAGCCTCTCTAACACTGAGTCAAACATTTAATTAAGAGAGCTGCATTTAAAGCTCGTCCCAGCGCCAAACATCCGGGAGCAGACAAGAAAGATTTGAGCTCGATGCTCAAATGGCTGCTACCGCTCCCAAGCTAGCAGCCAACCTCCAGTTTGGAAACCCTCCCAAAGACTCCAGATGATGGAATGCAATCTTATTTTGAAAAGCGGAATCAAGATATTTGAAGTTGAACGGCAAAGAATGTCACCTGCAAGTATCGACAGCATAATTTGATCAGCAACGTCACCCACTGGAGGAGAAAACACACTGCGACAAGGTCAACTTTTGAATGGCAAAAAGGAGTCTGCTTGGGATGGTCAGAGAAGCAAAAGGACTGATTGCAAGGTGTGAGGCCAAAAACCATGCCAGTGTTCTACCACATCACACAAAAGGTGACAACACCTATCAGTGACCAGCGCACCGGTTTCTCTCCAGCCATACCATCATATGAGGGCCGGAAGTGGTGTCATGGGTGTCTGTCGTAAAAGTCCAACAAAGGGCTTCACTTAAAATACACATCATGCCGTTCATACAGTACAGAAACACAATCGAGTATCACAGCTGAATATTTAAGTGGCTTAGTCGATATAAACTGTTTATCTGTTTCCAGATGAGTTTGCATATGTGTCAAGTGTCACCCACCTGTAGATAATTCCTTTCCGGTGTAAGAAAAATAGCCCAACGGCGATCTCAGCTGCATAAAAACTGTTGGGGCCGAGGGGAAACAAAGAATGAATAATAAAGTATTCAAACAAATAAAGTATTCAAACCTCAAATTGTATTGCATCATCCATTCATCCATTTATTCATTTTCCGATAGGCTCATCCTCACAAGGGTCACAGGGGGTTGCTGGAGCCTATCCCAGCCGTCTTCGGGCAGGAGGCTGGGGACACCCTGAACTGGTTGCCAGCCAATTGCAGGGCACAAAGAGACGAACAACCATCCAGGCTCACATTCGGACAAACCTAGGGAGAATTTAGAGTGTTCAATCAGCCTGCCATGCATGTTTTTGGAATGTGGGAGGAAACCGGAGTACCCGGAGAAAACCCACAAAGGCCCGGGGAGAACATGCAAACTTCACACAGGGAGGCCGGAGCTGGAATTGAACCTGGTACCTCTGCACTGTGAGGTTGACGCGCTATTACCACTGGACCGTTGGGCCGCCTGTATTGCATCATGAGGAGGAAAAAAAAAAAAAACGTACACGGCCTGCGGCTCCTTGAACTTGCCCATACGCTGGATATGATACATGAGGTCTCCCCCGTTGATGTACTCCATCACAAAGTAGAGGCGATCCTAAACACAAAGCAGACGAATGAATCTCTCGAGTACTTTCATTGCAACCACTCAGCAGGAAATTTGAATCAGACACGGCTTCATGTGTCCCAATGTATTTTTGACCCCGATTTTAAAAAATGTCGATTTTCTTTTTTTTTTTTTTCCTTTCTTGTACATCAGGTTATTTTCATTTTTTTGTTTATTTAATTTTGACCTATGAAAGCTTGTTTTAAAAATGTATATCTTTTAAAACACAAATTAGATGGCCCGCCAATAAAATAAAAGAAGTCAAATGTAATAATAGCCTTTCATAGCAACATTGCTCCTCCCTACCTTAGCTTTAGCATTCACATGATTGTGACATATCACAATAACTAAATCTGACATCCCTGCTTGAATAAAGTTAATTTTAAATTTTTTAAAATGTTTTCTCCGAACAAAAGGCACATCCGCACAGTCAGTTAACGCTAGAAGTCTAGTCGTATTTTATTCAAGAACAAAATATGTATTTTTGCGATCATACGGTCCTATTTTTTTTTCAAGACTTTTCCCAAATGAATAGCACAATATTACGGGGAAAAAAAATATTTTTTTGTAATTCGCCCCTGTTAAAATTACTTTTAGCCCTCACTAAACTAAGATTTTAATACCATGGTATTTTGGCTTTATTTTGGAACAACACCACTTCATTGTCATAAGACATATTTTAATGCTGACTCATGGTTGTGAATATGACATTTTTGTTTTGTTGGCAAAACAATGCGGCTTGTTTCTTCTGCCCCCCCCCCCTCCAAAAAAATAATTTGTTATTGCTACAATCTGTACTTCTGTTGTTCAAGAACTTGGATGGGCAACTTAACCGTTCTAAGTGGCCACATATTGTCTGACCATCCACTTCCGAACCAAATGTCTGGCAAAAAACAAACCCCAAAAAAACAACAACAACAAAAGAGAAACGAAGACCCTGCTCGGACGGTAATAAAACCCCTGGTCACTTGGTACTTAGAAGCGGGCAAGTTTTCACCCACCACGGTCTGGAAGCAGGAGTGGAGCTGCGTGAGGAACGGCGGTTTGTCCCTCTGCGCCAGCACCCTCTTCTCCACCATGGTGCATTCCACGTCATCGTCCTGGATGACCACATCCTTCTTCAGGATCTTAATGGCGTACAGCTCCTCGGTGGACTTCATCTCGGCCAGCATCACTTTGCCGAAGCTGCCTTTCCCCAGCAGGGCAAGGAAGTTGAAGTCGCTCAGACGCAAACGCTCGGCGTTGCCCAAAGGGAGGCTGAAGCGCCGGTGGTCCGAAGGCGTGATGACTTTCTTTCCGTGGCCCAGCTTGGCTTTCTGCGGCGGTCAAAAAGCACAAACGCGGACGGCGCGCCTTTCGTCATCCAACGTTTGAACAATCTGCATTTTCAATAACGTGCGGCCGGCGCACAAAAAGTAAACGGCCAGGACAAACACGCGAAACAGATGCTATGCAAACAAAATAACAGATTGCCAGAATGAAATCCGACTGAACTCTCAGGGATAGGCAAGGTGGGCGTTTAATTGTAAGAAATTCTTTACTTGACAAAATGGTCGTTTTCGTATGATAATATCAAAGACACAGACTTCAAACCTTTCCCCCGTCATTGTGTTCTAACTTCATAATGGTTATTGTCATACCTTTTGGACCTTCCCTCCCATAATACTGCAACTACTGTCCATTCTAATAAAATTACAGCTTTCGGGGGTGTAATATTCAGATTTTATTCCACAGGGTGGGTGAAAACTAACTTGGCATGAAACATTGGTAACAAAAGCAATAAAATCCACATTCCTATTAGCAAGTCGAGTGCAATGTATTATCTGACTCTTAATGACCAGGGTGCCAAAGGGCTCTTTTTAGCCTATCATTGACAAATATTGATGGCATACCCTGATCGAAACATCCCAAGAGTCAATAAAAACAAACGGTGAAGTGGAATTCTCATTAGTTGTCTATTTAAGAAGAAATATATCTGTGTGTGTGTGTGTGTGTGTGTGCGTGTGCACGCGCATATATATTGCAAATGATGTGCTAATTTCCTCTGTGGCAATGAGATGACAATTTTCCCTTGCTGACACCAAGGCCGTGTGCCATTCTAATGACTGGCTCAATGGTTGTCTTTGAACGACGACGACAACAAAGCAAGACAATTAAGACCCTGCCAGCTCGCAGGCTGCCTGCTAACGTCAAAATAAAAGGCAAGCAGCTGTTGCCAGACCAACAATCCCTCATGTTGGCAATTAGCCCCCCTTTTCTTTCTATAATGCATCAAAATGCTAATGTGAGGAGGTTCAAAGCAGATATGGCGGTGGCTTGACTTACTGTGGGAATTTGATTTGTCCTTTGACCACACTTGCAACTCAAAACACTTAAAAAAAAGAAGTAATTGAATGCGAATTCATGTAGAGTAAGAAAACAGTTTCCTTTGTGTGCTTTCTGTGTGCACCTTGGACAACGGTGGAGCAGTACAATACATTTACAGTGTATCAGACCAACGAGATTTTCACATCATGAGACTCAGTACATTGCAGTAAGATTAGTCGTTCTAGGCCAAGGAGAAATAATGTACGCCTGTGAGTATTGTTATATCGTCTGTCTTGTTGCTGCTTATATTGTGGTTGCCATAAGAGTTTCAACTACCAAAACATCCATGCTAGTTTTGTTAGCACATATCTGGCATTAAACATTTTGCGTTAGCATTATTCGAGCATACCTTCTCAAATGTGGTTTGATGATGTGGTTTGATTAAGATGGGAAAAAAAACCCTTTTGTTTAAAATTAAGCAATTAAATTTCTGCCTGCAATTCAAGACGAAAATTAATGAATAAATAAATAATCCCAGCAAGGGGTCGTATCGCGAAAGCTCATTAATCGGGTCGCTTGTGAGTTGAAGTGCCACGGCACCAATACACGAGTACAAAGCAAATTATATTGGTGGCAGGCGGTCTTAAATACATGTTACCGTGTCACGGTGTTTAATTGTGATTGACAACGTCAACAAGCACCCGACTACACGGAAAACTGCATGTACACACACACACAGAGCCACGGCAGCCTTGTACAGTACTATACACTGTGTCTTTACATATATGACACTGCCCCCGTGTGGACAGATTGAGCATGCACGACATGGGTCTTCATTCAAGTGAGTGTCCAGCGTAGCAAGAGGACGTGAGTTAGTACGCAGGCAAGTAGATTGAGAAGAGGGGGGGATTCACAAGAAAAAAAAGGTGAAAGATGTGCAGTTCAAGTTCAAAACAGTACTACTGAACAGAATCTTTTTTTTGATTTTAATTTTTTTTTCAAGTCCAGTTATTAATTACATTTTTCTGTCAATATTCATATTTTGCCCCTGGTCTCTTGACAGTGACAGACTAACTATCTTACTTCCCTTGGTGGTAAATAAATAAATAAAATACAAATACAATAAAATAAGCAGTACCAAAAAAAATGACCCTATACATATAAACATTAGTTATTACTCGATGTAGTTAATTCTGTATTATTTTAAGGATGGAAATGAAATCCACTTAGTGCCACCAATATCAAATGTAACGGTCATCTGTGGTTGTCATGGCAATGGGAGACAAAAACACTGGTCAACCAGTTTTTACATTATTTTTAGTCAGTCATGCGAGTAAACCTTCCTACATTTTTTTTGCACTGCTTCTGTACCTGTCCTTATTTTTTTTTCTCGAGCATGGCAAGTTTTCAATACCATGATGACGATTGAGTAATATTTATGAATTAAGGGCTATGTTCAGCAACAGGTGGAATTTTTTTCTCAAACGTCATACCTGTAAATTAGAAAATCCGCATTGTGCAAGCTTTTAAGGTCAAAAGCAAAAAGATTAAAAACAAAACAAAAAAAAAGAGAACATATCTCAAAAACCCTTGTGCTTTTTAAAAAGTGAAGACATTTTTGAAATCGGTATCAAAAATATCCTTCAGGGACAAGTAAAGCCATCTCTGATTAAAATTTGCTGTTGACCAGTGTAATTACCTGATAAAATATGCTAATTTAAGCTTCATTAAAAAAAAAGTCAAACTAATAATTACAGATACGGTACTCTTTTTTTTCCCCCCGTTTATTGTCGCTCTTATTGCAGCTAAGCAAAGAGACGACGCTGCTTCAAATTTCAGACATGGCTCGTGCGACCTTGGAGAATGCAGAGTCCTGCTTTTTGCCTGGATCGATCAAAATGTGTCGTGCTTGTTATTGTTCTTGGTCGCTTGCGCTGTGTCCTCCCGCACGGTTTGTAATTCATGCTCACAGAGACAAGAGAACTGCCGAAAGAAGTTCAGAGACAGCCAAGGGCACACACACACACACACACACACACACACACACACACACACACACACACACACACACACACAGTCGAGTACAGTCAGTGTTATTGGCTAGGTGGGTCGTATTTGTGAATCGTATTCACTTGTGGACGCACAAACACAAACAGTCCAGAGTAGTACATCGGCAGTGTAAGAAATCGAGAAACACAGGAGGAGGAGCAGGCAGAGCGGCTACCTTGAGATAGTGGATATTTAACTGGCAGGCCTACGGGGGAAGAGAAGAAACTCACTGGTTAGTTACTGACGTTCAGGGTTGGGTTTATTTGTGTGTGTGTGTGTGGGGGGGGGGGGGGGGGGGGGCAAGTTGAATTACACTGTAGTGTGCGAGGCTCTGATATGAATGATCGCATTGACAGAGAGTCAAAAGCACGGCTGGAAATGAATGCTGTCACATTTGACTGCGTTTCAGCATCTCCTGCTTGTTTCCACGGTAACCGGGCTGCATCATGTAAAGGTGCGAGCTTTTGAGGGGGGGCAAAAGGCAGGCCGGATTATGAAAGGAGATGGGGAAAAAAAAAAACAATAAGAGGCTGTGTGTTGAGTTGGGCTAATATTTCCATTTGGTATTAAAGCGCCGCTATGCAAACATGAAGATGAAGTTTAATAACAGTGTCGACACGCTTGTGCCTCTGTATTACTTGCGGATGATATGCTGTAGATGAGCAAAGTTTTCAATCAGACTTTGTGTGTCTACACGCTCAACGGCCACAAAAAATTTGATCCAGATGAAAAATTTGGTGTTTAAAGATAATATTGCTGATTTATATTTGGGGGTTTTTGGTTTTTTTTTTTTTTTTTCCCAATTTAAAGTGTAATGCAGTTCGCCGGTTCTCAGTTTGCAGTCCCACTAGTTTACAGATGTATTATTTTTTGTGTTCCGTCCATAACTCAGTTTTGTTCTGCTTTAGGTGTAATTACACTGCCTGACACTGGATGGCAGTACACTGCAAATTTAAAAGAAGAGTGAAAACAGGGAGGAGGCCTAGTTCAACCTTAGCTTGGTTTTGGCTTTAATCCTGCTTTTTATGCCTACAGAAAAAAAAAGTGGTTCATTTTATCATAGAAATCTTTGGGCATGAATATTGATGCCTATTTTGACGTGATAGGTTTGTTAGTTTAGAAAGACAAAGATTTGTTTACTGTCAATATTTCTGTGTTATCTATTACTCTTGCTCACTCTTCATATATTTTGTGTTTAAGTGTGTGAAAAGACCTCACAAAATTCCATGTGCCGTAAATGTTCTAAAAACATGCCTGGAGTGTATTTCAAGGGTATTTCTATCAGGTGGATATGAATTATTAAGGGGGTGGGTGGTCTGCAATGTAACCCACGATGGAGTGTCATTTACTGTTCAACTGCACTGCCTTGTTGACAATATTTTAAACTGTTCATGCAGCTCTTCTTATTAGTTTGTTTAAGTGTATCTAATTTCTTCTTATCTAATGTTCGAATTTCTGATGAATCATAAATTGTGAATTTGTGGTTTTTCAGAATTGTAAAAAAATAAAACAGTGACATATTTCACCGTGAAACATTTCAATTTCTGAATTGTAGTAGAGAAAAGAGAACATTTCATATGTATTTGCGCTGTTTGCGAATAATGTTCCCTCTGGCTGGCCTCACCTCAAACTTTTGTCGGAGCTCCAAATCCACGTCATCCACCTCCGGGATGGGGACATTGTAGTACTCGCCCTCCTCTTGGTTGAGCAACTTGTACCTTCGAGAAACAGACGCATATTTCCAGATGAAAAAAAAAAACCCACATTGATATATTTAGATTTTCATACAAGGAGAGCAGCTATTATTCAGTGAAACCCCCCCAAAACAAAATCAATCTCCAAAGTTACTCAAAAGTGGTACAATTGCTTCTAAAGTCAAACAAATGAGTTCAAATCACCTCAACAATCAAACGTCTTATTTAATGTGGTAGGTGTACCAGTAGACTCGAATGACTGGATTTTAGAGACTTGAATGACACATCTGAGAGCCTCCAAAAGGAAGGACTGTTATCGAAATGCAGCGTTACTGCCTGCCCTGTTTTATTTTGAGTCTGATCAATTTGAAGTGTTGCGCTGAAACGCGTCCCAACTGACCATCCACACGTGTGAGCTTTCATCAGCTCGGACACTCCGAACGACATGGAGCCCATGAAGTCATTCCTCGTGGTCCGGTCCCAGTCCCACACCTCGATGGACAGACGGCGGTCCTTGTCCGACACTTTCAGCTTACTGAGCACAAACACACAGAGGAGATTTTATTTTTCCATATCAGGACAAAAAAATAAACAGAACAAAAAAAAAAAAAATAAGTGTATGGGCGCATGACTCACAAGGTGAAGGATTCGTTCCAGCACGGGTTCAGGGATGAACGGATTGTCCTGGTCTTCTGTTTGGTTTCGTTCTTCGGGTCGGGGATGAGCTTGAGTTTTACGTAAGGGTCCGATAAACCATTTGGATCCATAGGGATCAGGTTCCTCGCTTCGCCCACTGCGGGAAGGAGGAAAGAGGCGATAGGGGGGTAAAAAAAAAAATTCCATTTGTAGAACGGATGGCAGCGCTTCAGCGGGTCTTCACAAGTTACCCTGTGAGACACAATATGCGTTTTGGATAAACATCAGCTAAGCTAATGAGATCCATTTACAGGGGATGGCTCAAAGTCAAGTCGTTTTACAAAGATAATAATGCCCAGTGACTCACTCGCAGTTGATACGAAGGGGAATTGCAGTCAAAGTGTTTAGCAGAAGCTGTCGGACAGGGGTGGCCAACCAGTCAGAGACAAAGAGACATTTTTGGTACTGTGTTACTGCAAAGAGCCACATACACATGGGCGTCCCGTCCTCGTGCGCGCGCGCGCACACTCACACAAACACACACACACACACACACAGAGGTAATTCGCTGACTAGCTTAGCGCCGCTGTTTGCGCATGAGTGGTGATTCAGTCATCTGATTGGTTGCCCTCTATGTCAATCAAGTAACGGGATTGATGATAGGCTGACGTAGTACGTTCTGTGTATTTAGCGCCGTTGTTTGAATGGCATTGCCACCGCCGAGGCGTTTTCAACGCTTGTCGTGTGAAAGCCCAGGAGCCGCATTGAACCAGCCAAAGAGCCGCATGCGGCTCGCGAGCCGCGGGTTGGCCATCCCTGCTGTAGGAGGAGTCACAGAAGAAAAAAACACTAGAGGTGGTGCTGGTAGTAGGAGCAGCAGTAGTTAATAGTCATAGTAGCGGTGGTGGTATTCAGAGCAGGAGCTATAGGAGTAGTACTTGAAGTCGAGGTGGTGGTAGTAGTAGTAGTAGTAAAAAAATCATTAGGAGTAGAAGGAGAAAGAGTAGTCATGGTAGTTAGTGTAAGCTTATGTTATATTATTATCATTTTATGTTTGAGCATCATATTATTTCATGTTAAGATGACCTAAATTGCATTCTGTTGTTTAATAATTAGACATGTTTTTATGTTGATAGATTCTGATTGGCTGTTGAAGTAAGGGAAAGCAGGAAGTGATTTTAGTTGCCAAGAGTGTGTTCTCGATCGTGCTGCGGTGCATACGTCCTTTCCCCCCCTCCTTTCAATAAAGCTGCGTTCAAACGGAATCCATCTCTCCTTTTGCCGTTCGTAAAGTAGAGGCATCCATTAAAAACGACGGCCCCTTAACTAACATTAGTATGAAGTAGCAAGCAATTGGACAATGGGAAGCACTATTGGTTGATAATGCGTGGTAGAAACAGTAGTAGTTGTAATTGTAACAGAAGTGGCTAATAGTCAAAGCTGTCATCGTACTTGTAGGAATAGTACTAGATGTCGTGGTGGTTGTAGTAGCAGCTGTATAGTAGCAGAAGGAGGAGATGAAGGAGCTCTAATGGCAGTAGTTGCAGCGTTTATGTCATGATCACTTTCTGTTAGTGTCCAGCAGGTGACAGCAGAGTTTTCCTGCTGCGCATCTGGCGTCAAAATTATTGGGACTATTTAAGGACCTCATGGATAATTTTGCAGAGCTCAAGTCATTGTTCGTGTGCGTTTTGTCTCGACGCTCTCTTATTACTCTCGTTCCATTTTTGGCTCTTGCCTCGATTTATGTTTCCTCCGTTTTTTTGGCTCTGGCCTTTGCTTATCTTCTTCGTTATTAAAGTACTGTAAGTCCTACTTGGTGAGTTTAAGTGTATCCACGGTTTGTTGTCCACGCAGTTTGGTCTTTCTTGTATTTTTGTTCCAAGTTATTTTTGTTCCTGTTTTTTGTTCCTTGCCTTGTACAAGCGCTTTTTGTTTTCTTTGCATTATTCTTGGCTTGTTGTCCAGCGTCATTATTTGTACTTGGGGGCAAGGGGATATTTTTGTTTGATTAACTTTCCTGAGTCTATGTTTGTATGGTCTGATTCTGTCCGGGATTTTCCGGACGCTCGGACAGTTTGTTGTGGTACAACTGAGTCAATGGTCGTAGTAGGAGCCAATCTAATAGTTGTAACAGTTGTTGCAGTCAAAATAATGGTCATAGAAAATATTAAGCCAAGACTGGACTCACCCCCACTCACCCATTTTTAATATGCTTATATCCATATTTTACAATTTGTATTTATTTATACACACTTTGTGCTTCTACTCCTCCCTTTTATAATTTTGCTGCTGTAAATTGGAAATTTCTCCATTGTGAGACAAATAAAGGTTTTCTTATTTAATCCAAATGCATTTTGCCCAAAAAATTGAGAAAAAAAAATCAACTTTGAAGTTAAATACAGCTGAACTGAACTACTTTAGCAGCGATTGTTTTGTGTACCAATAGAGGGAGCCTGCCTACCACAGTTGCTGTTGTTTTAGCACCCAAAAATACAGTAAGAGTGTATACGGAGCACATACTACTCCGCCAGTTTTGATCCTGAGACACCCGGAGGCAAAAAGTGTGACATTTGCCTGTGCGAGGACTGACAAATGGGAGCGCGAAGAGGGCTGTTACATAGCAACAGCAATGGGATGGAAAAGGTGTGTGTGTGTGTGTGTGTGTGTGTGTGTGTGTGTGTGTGTGTGTGTACACGCGTTTGGTTGGGGGCGAGAGCTTGCCACTTTCACCATGGCGACAATATCTACAGTAAATGGCCAGACACACTCTCCTCTTTTGAGTTATGACAAAAGCCTCAACAAATGGAATCTTTCATGAGGATGCACAAAGACGCTGCATGTCATTAAAACATTTTTTCTCGATGTATCCTTTTATTCTCACCAACTTTCTTTACTGGAAGTTATTTCACAAGCAACAACAAAGCCCTGCTTCCGTAGTTACATTTTCCTCTATTTTTAACAGCTGGGGGTTGGAGGGGGGGAGTCAATAAATAAAAAAAAAAAAAAAAGGATTTTCAGAAACCTAAGATTCATTTCTGAGAGGGAATTCAGTGCCAATTTGATTGGTCAATTTCCCATGCAAAGTCACTTCCCACCACCAGAGGGCAGTGTAGTCACGGTGTATGGAAAAAAAACCTGCCAACGTCACTAATGTTTACCTTTTTCCCAATGGTGTGACTCAACCTCATAATTGACTTCAATTCCTACTTGATAGCATAGAATGGCCCCGTCCTCTCATTGCATCACTCCGTCGACACAAGCAAGTCACACAGGCACGCTCATACGCGCAAAAGTGTGTGTGTGGGAGGGGGTGGGGGGAATACGACGACGAATGTAATGAGACGCACAAGCAATTGAACTGCGAGGCGGACATGAAAAAGCTCAGCAGCCCACATTATTATGTCGACGCTCCTCCCCTTGTGCTTTGCAGGCATCACTCAGTTCCATGGCAACACCAAAGTAACTTTACGCTGACGAAATCAAGCAAACAAATGCATATAAATGAGGAGTGCAGGAAAACCAAAAGCGTGCAAGTATTGAGTGCCGTTGGAGCATTTATGCTCCAGCCTTGATGTCCAGCTTAAGATTCAGGTACGAGTACATTTTTTGTCCTCGATGGTAAGACAATTCGGCAGCACACGACAACAACTGGGTCTTGCTCGTGTCAAGTTCACACAGAACCGAAGAACATTTTAGGATTCCAAATATGCAGGCTGAGACAAAGTGCGATTACAAAAATGTTTATTAAAGACAAAGTTTGAACTGAAATGGCTGGTCACAAAGAGCCAGGAATAAACAATATATCCATCCATCCCTTTTCTGATCCGGTTTATCCTCACAAGGGTCGTGGGGGTTGCTGGAGCCCATCCCAGCCATCCTCGGGCAGTAGGCGGGGGACACCCTGAACTGGTTGCCAGCCAATCACAGGGCACACACAGACGAACAACCACCCACGCTCACACTCACACCTAGGGACAATTTGGAGTGTTCAATCAGCCTGCCATGCGTGTTTTTGGAATGTGGGAGGAAACCGGAGTACCCGGAGAAAACCCACGCAGGCCCAGGGAGCACATGCAAATTCCACACAGGGAGGCCAGAGCCGGGATCAAACCCACGACCTCTGCAGTGTGAGGTCAACGCGCTAACCACTGGACCACAGTGCCACGCTCGTGCTAACCAAATAAGCAATGTATGAAAGAAAAAAGCGGAACACCAAGAATAAACAAACAAAATGTCAAGACGCCAATAATGCGAAGACAATCGAGAGCAAAAACAATATAATTCCAAATGAGAGCGACTATGAATTGTATCGCGAGGCCTAGAAAATAACACTTGATGGGGTTAACGAGGTACGCCCTTCGCTGGAGTTGGAACACAGTCAAGACAGACATGACACCAGACTACCCTACTAGTGCCACTTTTGGCCTACTACTTTTTAATACAGTGAAACTCCTCTACAACGAAACCTACATGGGCGAAAATACCCCCGAGTGTGAAAAAAGCTTCATGCATGAAAGCCATTCCCACTTTTCTGCTCCCCCTACAACAAAAAGTCCCCCTGTTGCGTTCTACGAAATCTTTTTCTCTGCCCTTACCGCGCAACGAGGTTCACTACAACGAAAACAAGCCTTGCGCAAAAGTCTAATCCGACCTCAGCATGCCACAGCGACCTTTACTGCTTCGTTCAGAAACGGCAACAGCAACCACCACACTGGTTTACACATGCTCAGTAGTCCAGGAAGTATTTGTTATTGTCAGTTTCAGACACAGCACGAACATTGCATTGCTAAAATGGCTACAAAACAGACCTTGCATGACTTAAGAAAAGAAGAGCTCTGACGCTTGAAGACAGGGCAAAAGTGATCAAAATGAAAGATGGAGGAAGCAAAGTTAAAGACATTGTGCAAGAAATTGATGTAAGTGAAAGTGAATGCTGATGGTAAATTTCGCAATTTCTTTCCCTTTTTTTCTTTCTACACTGACTATATGAAGTGTCAAATAAGTGTATGCTCATACTTATGCACTATTGGAATAAAAATAAAGAGTGCACATACGTGTGTGTGTGTGTGTGTGTGTGTGTGTGTGTGTGTGTGTGTGTGTGTTTACATCTGAGATCAAATTTGATGTAGTGAAAAGTCCACTGTTGTGAAAAATGTCTTGCTGCAAACATGATTTCATTGTAGAGGAGTTTCACTGTATGACCCTTAAGCTGAATATTAAAGAAATGCTCATCTTGACCATTTTTTCAATATCCTTGACATCTATGTACTAGTTACGCTCTGGTAGGCCAATTTTGACTACGACAGACACGATCCATTTCAAAAATATATCACTTCTTTTTTTGGTCCCTTAACACGCACAACAACAGGGAGAAGATTTAGTATTTAATTGTGGAACAGCAAGAAACATTTTGGGGGTTGAATGTTTGAATGTATGTATCTGCCTTTCTTCATCCTGTATGTTGTCTTACCAATGAAGACAAAGATCATGCTTAGCACCTTTAAACTCGATATGAAGAATATGGAATAAGTGCTCAGACAGCGTTCCACGGGCAAGCAACTTGTACTGTAAACGTTGATAACAAGCAACACGCACACACACACAATGAAAGTGTGATCAAGGCTCATCTCGACTGTCTGTTGTTGCTTAGCTACAACGAGAGCTGCTTGCCGTGTGTATCCTCCCCACTGCCTGCTCCCTGTGAGCTACTTGCCAACACGAATAAGTGTGCATGTGCCTTCTTGGATCCGTGCGCTTTTTAGGACTTGTTTGCTCGTAAAAAGACAACACGCGTGGACATCAAAAGTTCCCGATAAGCAGAAACTACTTGCGTGCACTTTCACCCTTTTATGCACCCTGTAACCTGATAACATGATAAGCTGTCCATTGTAGTGACCACTGTCCCTGAAAGGGTTAACGCTAAAATATGATGTGAACGTGCATTTGTGTGTGAATGGTACTTTTGCGCAGCGGTAAAATATTTTGATTTCTGACTTATGTCTGACCAATACGTAATTTTTAAATGATATGATGTGAAATTTTGCAAAGGCTATACTCGATTGTAAAATATATTTCGATATCTATACTAAAGTGTAAATGTGGAAAACTGAAAATAAATTCAAATCTGTGGAACCGCGTCGCATGTCCAAGCTCAGTAGTTGCTTGACATAAAAAATAAAAGCGAGCAAATGTGATCCCCGGTTTGGGCGGCTGCGTGCGGTGCGGCAGCGGGCCGCCAGCATCCTCTCACGAAAGGGCTTTGAAATTCTAATGTGTTGTTGCATAACAATGCCATGTGCGAGTTAAGAATGTCTGATAATCTGGGGGGGGGGGGCTGCACTTCAAGGCCAAAATTTGAGCTGTGGATGCATCCCTTCTGTGTGCTGCCAGAGATCCAAGCCAGCAAATCATGTTGCACACAGACACGAGAGTCGGACGCATTCTGCGGTCTTCGACTCAGTGTACTTGTGGTCATTGATAAGATTGTCAACTCCAGTTAGCAAAATTGACCGACGTTTACAACCTAAATTCAAATATTTCACCCAGGCAAATTGTAGTCATTTATTTCAAAATGTCCATTCCATTCATTTTGTAGAATTAATCTCGGCTGCACTGCTTACAGTCAATGTACTGTCTCTCAGATGTTTTTTTTTTTTTTCTTTTTAGATTTGTTGTCCGATCGGATTTTATTCGTGTGTTGCCTTTGCTAATCTAATATGCCCGAGCCCTTCACAATCAGTACTGTGGGCCCAAGTAACCTCAATTTAAAGAAATGGTCACATTTAACCCTTTCAGGGACAGCGGTTACTCCAGTGGACAGTTTATCAGGTTGTCAGGTTACAGAGTGCATGAAAGGGTTAATAAACAAATAAGATTCACATTTGTCCTCACTGGCCCCGGGTGACCACAACATTTTTCATCCTCTGATTGGTTTTTCAGAGCAAAGCTTGTTCCAACTAACTTGGCGTCACACAACACACTTGTAGCAATCTGCGCAAAAATTGACCTGTCTGCATTTTTCGACACTTATGATGACTTCTATAATTTTGTCCAAGTTGCTACTTCAGTATTTACTTGAAAAGCCTGATGGTGTTGCGGGATTCTTCCGCGACTGTGCTTCGAACCTGAGGCGAGCACGTCAGCCATAGGAAGGCTCAGCCTGAGTTAACATTACCGTGTGCCTGAACTTCAGATGCCCTTTCAAAGTGGGTGTACTGTAGGTGAGCGTGTGTGTATGTACACCCGTACAGGCCTTTTCTTGACACTTCAAAATAAAATATCTTCAGATGCCCTCAGTGTTATTTATGTCACCTCTGCAAGGAGAGAGGACAAAAAGGTGTGCGTGTGTGTGTGCGTGTGCGTGTGTGTGTGCGCGCAATTTGGCCCGCGACAAAAATGAGTTTGACACCTACAGGAAGAAAAATATTGAGCTTAGAGCAAGAACAGCTTTTGGGAAAACTTTCTACAAGGACTGGTGTGTCACAGGGCTCTGTGCAAAGGCCCCATTCTCTTCATTTATGGACCTTGAATCATGCCCGAAGAGAAAACGTCTTAGATTCATCCAAAATGTCGAGAGGCTAGGAATTCAAATTTAGGGGCGACAAAGAGCTCACATCATTGATTAGTAAGTCGGAGTTGTGCCTTGATACATACATCTTGAGAGTTATGCAGGGTTTGAATAGAACCTGGAATACAGAGAGGCAAAGTCAATACAGTATTACAACAAGGAGAAGATGGAGTGTCGGGGATGATGAAGAGGAACGCGCCTGTGTGGCGAGACCCTGAGAGATTTGTCTATTTTGTTGACTGGAAAGATTTCATCAAGTTCACGCTGAATGGAGCGGTGAACTACACAGAAGCCCACCACTTGTCTGCGGGAGCCAGACCAAAAAAAAAAACAAAAAAAAAACCCAAAACAAGAAGCTCCGGCTGCACTGCGGTCATTAGAGCACCGAGCTTGAACACAAACCCAACACAGGAAAAAAAGAACATAGACTTCCACTGCCTCCAGTTCTCTTTTCAGACCTAATATGTGTTAGAGGAGTGTTTTTTTTTTTGTTTTCTCCCTCCAGTTGAGGATGCGAATGCGTCGGCTGATTTTGTATATATTTTTCAAAGAGAAGCGTCAAGCTGTTTATTGCCACTCCCACTCAAAGTTTACTGTCCAACTAAACATAGAACAACATGAATTACATCTTGTGCATTTAACGCAACTCCATAGCCACTGCTATGTGAATGCTAAAATACAATGGGGAAACGCCATCGATACGAGGGCTAACGATTAGCATCTGTGTGGCAGTGGATTTTCAAACTCAACCTGTGCTGCAACACATGCAGACAGACAATACAAAATTCCGTTCTTTAGACGGATCCTTTGAACTTTTGCCATACCTTAGTTATACTTTCTGTGATTTGTTATTTCAGTGACTAAATCAAGGATGGTCAATCCAAAATTTGACCAAGCGCCACAGCCATTATTTGATGAAATGATTTAGAGCGATTGATACCCCGGTATCTGCTTCTGTTCTGCCCCATCTGCTGATACAGTTTGCACTCGTTGATGACGTGCAGGACGTACAATCTACCATAGCTGATTAACGCAACACGTACCAGTGTCAATCAACGTTGGATATGATACACGCATGACCACTTGTAAGACAACTGTGATTGTACAAAACTCAATTTGCAGCGGCAAAAAAAAAAAAAAAAAAAACCCCACGAGTCAATCACGAATTTACTCGCTCATTTTCTGCTGTGTGTGTTTTTCCTGTTTGAGAATCGCTCAGCACCGCATCAATCACTCCAGTGTGTGTGTGTGTGTGTGTGTGTGAGAGGGAGAGAGAGACAGGCACACACACGAGGGAGGAAGAGGTTATATTGGTGACCCAGCTGTCACTTTCCTTCACCTCCCTGAGGGTTATTATGCTGCACCGTTCTCCAATCCAGGTGCTGCTTTTGAGTGACAGGCTAATTTGGAAGTGTCGCTCTACCAACAAACAAATACGCGTAGCACTTAGTAAGACACTGACATACTGTAGATATTGATGTTTTTACAAGCAATTACATTTAGATTGAGCTTTTTTTTTGTGTTGGCAATCAAACAATTACATCAGTACAACACACACACACACACGCACACACACACACACACACACACACACACACACACACACACACACACACACACTGTACATATAGAAAACAATTTGCTTGACTATTAAAGGACTGTTCCTTTTTCTGGATGGCCATCAAGGGCATCCTCCCCTCTCATTGACCATCGTCTTGTTCTCTTTGCTCAATGTTAAGTGCAATTTAATGAGTCCCTTTGATTTGGGAGCTGCATTGTCGCCACTGTCCTTATGTTTATGAGCATGGTAACCACGGAAACTGAGAGGGGAAAAATGGGGTTGGTGTTTTTTTGGTGGGGGGGCACTGGAATGAATTGATGGCATTTCGGTTCAATTCAATGGAGAAAATAAAGTGAGTTGAATTTTTCAACTAGATGGCATTGCATTTCATTTCAATGTCAATTTTCCATAATATGTCCACTTCAAAGCACTTATTGGAAGCGGATAATAGGTGGAGCAACTCATATTTTGAGACCACAGCGAGCAGTTATTTTGCTTGTCACGGCCACGTGAAGTGGAATATCTAGGTCGAGGCAGCGCATGCACACCCAAAATGCACCATTGGTGTCCCAGAGTCAAAAGTGCACAATTACACATATCCAAACAAATCAAACAGCCTCCACTTTATGAACATGAATGAGCATGGAGATTAGCGTGAACAGCTCTCAAATCTTTCACAGCATCTCTCAGTCACAGCAGGGGAGCCGCTTCCACACGTCATCCGCACGCGCGCGCGCACGCGCACGCACACGCACGCTAATGCAGTCAAACTGGGCTGTGGCGGGCATTAAGACCGACCTGTGACATGTAGCCTGTCGCCGCTGACCTCAATCTTGAGGAAGAGGCGACCCCGGCGCTCGGTGTGGTCTGTCCCGCACAGGCTTGGCACGTTGACCACGCATTGCTTGTGCACATTCATGTCGCAGGCTGGACGTGACAAAATGTGAAGCAAAGGAGAGCAAAGGGGTGTTAGGTTTCAAAGAAAAAAGACGTGGTATTCAAAACGGCAACATTTGTCAGAAGACAAATTGCTAGCTGGCTACTATACAGCCATTGGAATTTTTTGTTAATGTGAAACTTCATACATGCTGCACATACAGTCTGTAGAAAAAAAAAAGAAATCCTTATTCAACCAATCAGGTTTATCTATACCTACTGTTGTGGCCCGTAAGCACATAAAAGTAGCACTCCACCTTTCCTACCTCGACTTGGCCGACCTGTGGAGCCAACACCTTGCGAGCAGGCAAGGACATGGTAGAGAGAGGAGGAAAAACTCGTACCAATTTGTTCTGCCCCATTCCCATTACCTATCTACGATCAGGGCTCCGGGCGGAGACCCGCAGATGGATGGAGCGCGTAAGAGGAGAGAGTGGGAGAAGGTGATGGATGGAGATGACTTGCGAAGATGAGGGACACGGCGTACCGAGAGGAAAGAAATGTGATGAGGGGCAGAAAATGGGGGAATAAGAAAAGAATCCATCCATCTAGCCGTTTTCCACACAGTGAACCACCGTTTTAGATCCACCCGTGATAGGTGAAATACTATAAAATGGAGAGACCACAAAATCTCATTACAGCACAACTTTTACAACACATTGTAAATGGTAACATAAAAATAAAACCACAAGCATAAAATGTCTAAAATTAGAGGACATTAAATGTACGATCCGTGGACGTGTATTAGAAAAGAACCTAAAATATAAGTTTTCTGAGTTTCCGAACCCCAGACATGCTAACCACTACACTACAGTGCTGTTGAGGAGAATACAGTGGTACCCACAAAGTTTGGAGTACTACCAAATTCTTCATGAAAAAAAAATATGGCTCCAAGGTTAATGTCTTCTGCAACCGTGATGTCATCATCACATGAGGCATTAGCACAATTAATTCCCGTATTTTCCACACTATAAGCTGGTTCGGAGTATAAGGCGATGCGGCTGATCCGTGGACATGTGTATTAGAAAAGAACCTAAAATATAAGCTTTCTGAGTTTCCGAACCCCAGACATGCTAACCACTACACTACAGTGCTGTTGAGGAGAATACAGTGGTACCCACAAAGTTTGGAGTACTACCAAATTCTTCATGAAAAAAAAATATGGCTCCAAGGTTAATGTCTTCTGCAACCGTGATGTCATCATCACATGAGGCATTAGCACAATTAATTCCCGTATTTTCCACACTATAAGCTGGTTCGGAGTATAAGGCGATGCGGCTTATACATTATATGAATGGCCTATTTTAAAACTGTTTTCATATATAGAGTGTACCGCAATATAAGACGCATAGAATAGAAGCTACAATAGTGGCTGCAGTTGCGTTATGCATCCACCAGATGGAGCTACGCCAAAGGAATGCAATACAATACAATACAGCTCTATTTCTATCGAGCTTCCACAACCGCTGCAGCTGTAATATAGCGCTTTACCAAACATTTAAAATACTATGTCCAATAATTCAGTATATTTATCAATATATAAGGCGCATCCGACTATAAGGCACACTGTTGGCTATTGAGAAAATTAAATACTTTTAGGTGCGCCTTGTAGTGTGGAAAATACGGTACACCTAATTTCATCCACATTTTCCAGCATATAAAGTCATGACGGTTGGATATTATTGCCTAAACGGTTCACGTTAAGAGAAGGTCAGAGCCGTGAGCAATTGTACTTGTTTTTTCCTATTTAAAAAAAAAAAAAAAATCATTGTCATTGGCCTCATCAAGTAGCTTTTTGGGAACGAGGACTTTGGTTCGAATCTTTAGTGACTGGTTTCATGCATTTGAGCTCATCTGTTTGTGCTGTTACACAAAAGGCACCTCTGAGTGGTGCTATAAACAGTTATGTTAGCTTTTGACTAGAAGCCAATGTAACAGTCTGGTTACACACTGTCACTTGACTTGTTCTTGCTAGTTGGAAAGAAGAGCCTCAAAGTGAAGAATTACAGACTGTTATGCTAGCTTCTCATGCTCGCGAGCTAGCATGTCTTTCTATAATAAGTTAAAACGGTCATTGGCTAACTCTCCAATGGCAATCACGAAAAGCCACTAGTGCAGTTGACACCTTCCCTCTTTGCTGCTTCTTGTCTAGCACAACAGACTAACACTGAAGTTCTTTTTCACATGTGCGATATGTTTTACATTAAAATTTTATGGTTTCTGCAGTACCCCTAGTACTGCAGAAAGTAGAAAGTAGGAAAATAGGATAAAGAAGTCACAGGATGTGATAGATTCACAGAAACGTTATGATTTGAGTGGAAACTGCTGTGAGGTGAGTTTTTGACCATCAATGTTACTCCCATCTGTTCTCATTAGGGATGGTACAAAGAAAAAATCTGTGGACGCGTAGACACCATACTCACTGTCACATTTCATGCCCTGATGAATGAGGCCGTAGAGCAGTGAGCCACAGTGGTCGCAAAAAGTGGGAGAGCCGTAGGAATGTATCTTGAACTTGTGCTTGCTTCTGGGATCCTGGAAAGATGACAGTGGGAAGCACTGTTAGCATGTTAGCGCTAAGATGTTCATTTCCAAAGAGTGTGCCGCAACACACAAAATGATTCATTTACTAGACGTGTGTCCTCATTCATCCCGCCATGCCAGCGACGTATAGTGTCGAGCGCAACAATAACTTCCACCAGCTGACAGACTTCCACCAGCTGACAGAAGGTACAATTAACCTGTGCTTTATCCTGTTTATTTAATATTTATTTTTCCAGGTAGGGCAATCTATGAACAGACACTATGAAAGGCTCAGTTATGCGGTTGTTTTAAATACACATTGTGTAATTCTCTTTGTTTTATGTTTAGTTTGACAGTGGGCTGGGAGAGGTAATAAAAAGCTTCAAGATTTGTCAACTATCTGCCAGACTGCTGCTCGTTGTTAACTGAATTGAATCATTGCCACCATACAGTACTTGGATCGCGAAGCAAACAATTCAGTCGAATGACAACTTGTACTGTGTGAAAAAAAGAAGATAAATCAAGGCTTTTGTATCTCAAAGCACCACTATATGGGCCTTGACACTGGCGCATGATATGCCTTCTGGCCACATAATCTTAATAGAACCACATCTCATTGAACTTTCCGCCTGAATGAAACAGCAAGGAGGTAGCTCTTTTTATAGCCACAGATTAAAAAAGAATGTACATGAGACAGCCATCCATCCATTCATTTTCTTTAGCTCTTGTCCTCATTAGCGTCGTAAGTGAGATGTAGCCGATCCCAGCTCAGGTGGAGATGATGTCATCCACAAGCGTCTCACAATGTACATGAGACAGCCATCCATCCATTCATTTTCTCTAGCGCTTGTCCTCATTAGCGTCGTAAGTGAGATGTAGCCAATCCCAGCTGACTTTCATTGGAGAATTACACAGGTGGAGATGATGTCATCCACAAGCGTCTCACAAACTGTGCATGACTGACAAGAAGAAAGCAAGCAAGGAGGAATCAAAGCAGATAATGCCAAAATATCCATCTGGAAGCGAAATGTCAGGCCTTTGTCAGTGTGTATGGCAATGTGTAGAGTTTGCGTTGCTCGTCTGACACTTCTCTCCATCTTGTTATCCTGGAAGGCATCCCGGCATCTTGCCCGTTTCAGTGCTCCAGTGTTAGAAAAGCACAAATAGACACAGTGAATGGACGCGCGCCGTGCCAAGAGACGTCTAATTGAGCAGCTGTTTACGTTGGCCGGCACAACTGGCACAAAAGATGTTTGATACAAGGGGATTGACACTCTGATAGGGTTCCAGAAACCCAAATTCAAATGACGACACGGGACCGGAGAAACAGAAGCGACTGATTACCTGATATGGGCATTCCATCCCTGGGATGGAACGGCCCAACCCACTTTTGGGATGGAGGATGAATTTTTATTATTATTTTTAAAAAGGACAGACTAAGCAAGGACGGAAGTGGGTTTTCATCCGTCCTTTTCATTGCCCTTAACCAGGCTAAGTATGTGATGTCGGGAGGCAAAATAGCAGGGCCAGAGGACAGCCAAACACTGTATTTTCTTGACAGGCTATTAACAGCATAACACGTACGACTCACTTAGTCGCCATTACAGAACTCCTCTCCTTCCTTTTTCATCTCACTGCCACCTAGTGTAGAGACAGCGAACAAAGTGCCTACGGACATCCATTTCACGAACGATAAATCTGGTCAGTTAAGCTGGCTGTGCTATATGTCTCCTAGTGCCCGCCCACCAAGATGCTTAAGCCC